ATGAGTCGGAAACGACTCGATGGCACATAACAACAACAACAACATCTGTCTTTGTAATGATTGTTTGCACTCTTCCTGGATGATACATTTGACGTCCTCCCACAACTCATTAGGTCTTCGCTCATTAGTGTTCAAGGCCTCAAACCTGTTCCTGAGATGGTTCTGAAATTCAGGTGGGATGAACTCAAAGCCATATTTTGGTTCCCGTGGATTCGGTTTAATTTTATTTCCACAGTAAAAGCAGTCAATAAATCAAAAGAGGGATTGCATTGGGGATATCTGTTAACAAGGATCTATCCAAGGAGCTAAAGAGCAAGGATGTCAGTTTAAAGACTAAGATGTGTTTGAACCAAACTATGGTATTTTCAACTGCTTCATATACATCTGAAAGTTTGACAATGAGTAAGGATGACAGAAGAATAGATGACTTTGAATTATGATGATAGAGTCCTGAGTATCCCAAGGACTGCCAAAAGAACAAACAAATCTGTCAGAGGAATTGTAATCAGTGTGCTCCTTAGGGGCAAGAATGGTGAAACTTTATTTCAAGTACTTTGGGCATGTTTTCAGAAGGGGTCAGTCCTTAAATTAAGATGTCATGCTGGAAAGGTGGAGGGTCAGAGAAACAGAGGAAGTCCGTCAAGGTGATGATTAACATAGTGACTATAACAATGGGTTTGCATTAACTTGCTGGTAAGAATATCTGTTTTCTGCTGGACACACTAGCCTATATTCGGCCTTAAAGCCTCCTCAGATCCATCTCTTCTCGCTGTTCCTTAGTTGTTGGAATTGACGGAAAACCTCATAAGCAGTTCTTTACTTCACCTCTGCCTTACATGTGGCCTTCCTAGCTGTAAAACACTCCCATGGTAAATGGAATTTGGTCCAGGATTTAAGAACAATAAATGACATAGTTGTGCCTCTCTACATCATGTGGTTCCTAGCCCTTGCACTATAATAGACAAAGTGCCAGCCAATAAGACTTTTACTTTAAGGATTATCTTCCCTCTGTAACTTGATTTGTGTCATTGTTAGAATCTCTAATTGGAATATTGTTGCTCTTCACTGTTGACTCACGTACTTTTTAGTTAAATTTGTGTCTTCTAGACTGCAGCAGTTCCATGATGGATCTTCAAGGATATGAACATGTATCCCTAAGCACAATTGATAACAATGCATTTAAATTCCAAAATCAATCTCCTCAAAAGTATACATGTTTCCTATTGCCAAAGGGCCCTTCAGAGTAGTGAGAGAAGATCTTCACCCTGAAACCTACAGCGTCCCTTTTCAGCAGGAAGTAGCTAAGAGAGTCTGCCGCCCCATTTTCCTTATGAATCAGGGTGAAATCTCTCTCAGGGAGGAGTGACAGGGAATGGCAAAGGACGCATGGAAAAAGGAGATTAATCAGAACTGGTTTTGATGGGGACTATGGCAACATGACAATGGAAGCGGATCCTCAGGGAATGCTGTTTTATTGGAAGTATTTTTGTGAACTTATTTTGCTTTCTTGGTTATATTTGTTTGATTATATATAAAGGATTAAGAGACAAGGAAGAATGAATCCTGAAGAAGAAAAATTATGCTCATCTTGATGATCTCAAAATTATGATTTAAACAAAAGAGGGGGAAATGAGGGAAGTCTAATATCAAATTTAATAATAGTAGACCAAATGCGGGAAATGAGGGAAGCTTGATACAAACTGAAGGCCACCTTGTGACACTGGGGCATTCCCTAGGAGTCAACATTGTTCTTAGTTTGTATCAACTGAATCCCTCCCTCTTGAGATTAGCATAAAGAGGAACTTGACCTTATTTGTAAAAGACTTCACCATTATCCTTTGTTTTGTACTTCCTTGTGATTTTACATTTTTTTTATCTTATGATTCTAAATAAATACTCAGAGAAGCATGGCTTGAGGTCTTCAGTCGAGAACTGCTGACCCCCTGTTTTATGCACTCTGCTCTATCTCAAAAAAAACAAAACAAAACACACACACACACAAAACCCCCCCAAAAAAACAAACAAACAATGGGTTTGAGGATAACAGATGGTAAGGATGGTGGAGGATAAGGTAACGGTCAGATCTGTTGTTCGTAGGGTCTGTGGTTGCTGTTGACTCAAGAGAACCTGATAACAACATTATCTACTAAGTGAGCAGCTCCAGTGGCTTAGTCCATGGGGAGTTTCGTGGCTAATCCAAAGGTCCAATCTCTCTGGCAGTTTGAGTCTACCAGCAACTCCACAGGAGTAAGATGAGCGCTCTCCTCCAGTGTGATTTACAGCCTCAGACAACCAGTGGATGATTAGCGATTAAAATGTTTCAACTTGATGGCAATGAGTCTAGTATGAGTATAATCCGTAATCTATCAAATAGGGTTAGGGTTAGAATCTGGCTTCTTTGTTGTTTTTGAAATGTGTAGCCAATTATCTCAGAATCATTTATTGAATAGTTTATCCTTTTCTCAAACACTTTGAATTGTTTGCTACTTTTATCTCAAAATTACAGAATTTAAATAGGCAAATTTCCTTATTTAACAAATGGACATAACAGTATCTTCTTGATCAGTGTATCTCATGATATTGACGTTAAAGCTATATAAGAGGTTCAAACAGTTTTGGAAAAGCTATGATCTGTGTATTATATGGAAAAAAACCCACAAAAGCATCAACAAGAACAACAAAGATGACTCCTCCTCCAGGCATTGGTTTCTCCTGAGAACATGTTCAAAGTATGTGAAAACAAGGAAATGATTCACATATGTGTAGAAGCTGCAAAGTCCCAGGTTCACAGGTCAGATGTCAGCATAGAGGCTTCTCCTGACTCACTAGCTGCAGGTGCTAACAAATCCAAGACCAGCAGGTGAGAAGGCAAAGAACTGGATATAAAGAGCCATATTTGCCTATCCTTCTCCTACGCCTGTGTGTCTACGTCTATATCCATATTCACATACATTTTTTTTCCCAATGCAGGCTACATCCATCAGATCTTGCTCATGATTACATATAGCATGTTGCACCCTGTCGTAACTTTTATATATTGGATCAGGTCTGATTGTTCGATCATATGACCACATCATGGAGGATAACTAAAATATAACTGCCACATTACAGCATTACATAAATGCTAAACCAGAGAATCAGGGACAAGTTGACACATAATGATTTTGGCCCAACAGTGACCGGGAGAACGGTTTTGGAGTCTTGACTCCAGGATATATCACTGCTCTTTTGAGGGGTAAACTCAATCTCTCTTCTTGTCTGCCTGCCTGTGAGGTGTGGAGGGTTATCAAACCTGGGGCAAGAATATCCATTGTAATCCTGGTTTTGTGATCACGACCCTCATATAGGAAGCTCTGGTGGCCCATTAGGGAGCTCTGGTGGTTTAGTGGTGAGAAGCTGAGCTGCAATTCCAAAGCTCCCGTCATTGGAATCCACTAGCTCTCCATTGGGCTATCTCCTTCCATGCGATTTAGTGCCTCTGAAAACCTCCTGGAGGATCAGTTATGGGTCAGCTCCGAGTCAATCATATACAACAACAACTCTCATACAAATTTACAAACTCAAATGAAAACTAAATTCATCGCGATGGAATTGATTCCACCAGCTCAGAGCATAATTGGGCTGCTAACGACGTTAGTCTCCATCATCAGTTGCACCATGGAAGAAAGATGAGGCAGCTAGTCCTCCCTTAGACTTACCCCAGGGGGGTTATGAGTTGGAAATTTTAAAAAGGGATGAGAAAATTCAGGTTACAGCCTAGCCAAGACCTCTAGTTTACAAGCGTGACCCCCGCCCGGGCAGCCGCGGCCGGTCATGCAAACTGGTCTGCACGCGCGTCAGTTCCCGGCGCTGTCACTAGGGGCGATCGCGACCCGCCTCGGCAGCAGCCTCCGAGCTTCGCGGTCCGGGTTTCTAGCCGGCGCGCTTTGCCAGCCGGGACGCAGCATGGCTGCACCCAGGGTGGCGCGCTACCGACCCGCCGCGTTCCCGCCGCTCGGCTAGCCCCAGGCTTCCCTGCTCCGCTCGGCTTCCCTGCTCCGCTCGGCTTCCCACGCCTGCAGACATGTTCGCCAAAGCCTTTCGAGTCAAGTCCAACACGGCCATCAAGGGGTCCGACAGGTGAGGGAAGAGCAGGGGGTGCTCTGCCCATCGGGGGATCGCAGGGGCCCCGGCCGCGGCGGAGTCCTCGGTGGAAGCGGGGTGGGCCGACCTGGGACAGAGGCCAAGGGGACCCGCCGCCGAAGGGACCCCACGGGGCTGGGCAGTTTGCATACATTTAAGAGAAGGGTGAAAAAAAGACTCTGCTTTTTGTTGGGGTTGATTTCCACCACCAGTCCAAACGGTGTTTAGATAATCCACCGAGGTAAAAAAGTAATTCAGTCGTTGTTAATTGACTGCAGAGTAAGATGTTGTGGAGGATGCAGAAAAGAAGGAATATAAATAAGGTCTTTGTCCTCCGAGAGTTTAGAGCCGGATGAGAGATCGCAGGTGGGGTACCGAGTGTTCAAGTGTACGTGGCAAAGTGTCCAGTGATTACAGCTGGCAGAAAAGACAGATAAAGGGTGAGGCGCCCCATAAGGCACGTGTGAGGAGCAGAACTGTGTTTATTTAACTGTGTCGCAAGCGCGTATTACCGCTTTGGAAATTTACGACCAGTTTCTGTTCTAAAGTTGCCCTCTCGGCTCAACTCATTGCCATTGAGTCAGAACAGACTCATAGAGGACCCTCCAGCGGGTCGTCTCTCTGGTGGATTCTGATGGGTTGCCCAGCTTTTAGGAGCAGCTGGTGGATTCGAACTGGCCCCCTCTCGAGACAGCACCACTAGCGCTCTGGTATTTACTCATAAACTGGCAGAGTGACTAAGCATATATGAGAAGCTAATTGAGCCAGGGAAACAGGATGGAGTCCAGAAGGCAGGACTGACTTTTCCAATGTCAGGCCAAGGATTGCTCACCGGGCCTCAGTTTCCCCCTTTATAAAATGGAAAAAACCTTCCCCAGGAGCTTGTAGGACAGACACAGGATGGGGAAGAGATTGGGGTACTTGGGAGGAGTATGAGAACAGGGCGTCAGAAACCAGGCGTCTTGCCCTGTACCCCCGCATGATTTTATAGTGAGTTCTTGATCCACCAGTGTTTGGTAGGCAGCCCAAGCAGCATTCACACGTGGTTTTGGTGTACTTTCTGCAGGAGAAAACTTCGGGCTGATGTGACAGCTGCTTTTCCCAACCTTGGAGCCAATCAGGTCTCAGAGTTAGTACCAGGAAAGGAAGAGCTGAACATTGTGAAGCTGTATGCTCACAAAGGGGATGCCGTGACTGTGTACGTGAGTGGTGGTAACCCCATCCTATTTGAACTGGAGAAAAATCTGTATCCGACAGGTATGGCAATAGGATAGAGACGGCCATTATTAGTCCTTCCCTGATAATCTGCTTCTCTGTCTTTCTTCCATTACCTCCTGCCCATAAAACAAACAAGCACCAAATCTCCTGGTAAGCCTTAGGGCTTCTGTGGGCCTAATGTTTCTAGGATAGTCTGTCAAGCCTGGAAGCTGCTGTCAAAAAGAGGTACAAAAGGTTAATGCAGAGAGGGAGTAATTACAAAAGGATGTTCTAAAATGAAGGAGCAATGCCTGAAGGGTTTATGTAGTAAATCAGGGATAAGGTAGATTTCTTTTAAAAGGTTGATGTTCAGAAGATGTTAAAAAAAAAAAAAATTCCTTAAAACTGTCCCTAGAAGAAAGAAACTGACTTAATGAAGCTGTATACCTTGCTGTCTTGTCACTGTAGTTCAATCAGGATATCTCACACAGATCTTTCTGACTGGCCCTCCAGGGATCTTTGCTTTTTTTTCCTTTGTCATAGATCCCTGGGGTCTTTTGTCTTCTGTCTGCTGACACCTATTTTGTAGCTTGGGGCTTTTCTTCCTCCAGGCTTGGCTATCAGAGTGTAATGCGGTTTCCTTAGGCTGTTCCTACTGCATCACACTTCCCTGATGTATCAGAAGATAAGCATAAACTATTTTTGTTCTAAGGATTTAACTGCTAATCACTATGGAAACAGAAGGAATAAAAATAATAAATATGAGAAGGTTTTAAGGTTTCCTATAAGTTAGCTATCTCTTCTTAGGTTACTTGATTCTAAGGTAATAGCTGGGAGCCTTTTGACTCTTTGCTCCATTTTTAGTCACTTTTCTGTTGCTAGTTCAGATGGAACAATAGGTTCCTCCAAGCTTCAAGTGATGCTTAGTTTCTTTGGTCTTTGTCTTGCAAAAACTGAAACCTCTTTGAGTATCCCCTTACTGTTGAGGGGGATAAACCTTCTGTTTAGCCCTGGGATGAAATCTCTTTTATGTATCCTGATTGAAGTAACTCTTTGGTGTTTTATTTTGTTAATTCCCTAGCAGATTGAATTTTTCACACTAAATGTCTTCTGGGTCTCTTTTTTGGGCAGTGTACACTTTGTGGTCATACCCTGATCTTCTGCCAACCTTCACAACATGGCCTCTGGTACTCGAGAAGCTGGTAGGGGGAGCAGGTAAGAAGAAGGCTTTTCTTATATTATGCCTGTTGGCTACAGTCTACAGAGCAGAGAGTTACTAATTTAAGAAATGAAATAATTTCCTGTGTGTAGAGTGAGGTTGTCATGGGGCAGCCATGTCTAATTTCTGTTAACTCCATAAGGGGGAACAGTCCCCAAGAAAATCCTCAACACAAAACCAATTTCTATGAGGTCATTCATGTCCCCACCCTCCCCAAGGCTACTTCTACCAATTCTAACACCAACCATCCCTCCCAGGGCTCTCACTTCCCTACTGTAGGATCCAATAATCTGTTACCTTGGCCACATAGAACTAACAGAACCATACTCACATTTATGAGGTCTGTTAAGCAAGTTAACAGGTTGCAAGTCAGTTTGAAAACAAGATACAATTCTTCAGTGAGGACAGATTATTATGTGTACTGTCTGACTTTTTGACCTATATATAGCCTCTCAACCCTAGATCAGGGTTGCAAAGCTTTCTCTTAGTCCTGCCAATTATGGTGTCTCCCCGAAGACCTCCAGTAGACATGGGTAAAGGCCTCTGGTTTTTAGCTCCTTGGGGCTGCATCCCCAGGCCAGCTCTGTCTCATACCAGTCTCTAGTTCTCAGTTGCTGCTGCTGCTGTCATCTAAATCCAGGTCTGAGATGTGCCTGAATCTCTGGCCCTGAAGGATTTGACTTCTTTCTCTCCTTCTTTTCTTTTACTGGTAGTGAGATTACCCATTTCTGCTGCTAAAGTGGCTCAGTTTAACTTGGCAGGATAGCAAAACTGGCCAATCCCTGTTTGTATGTTCCTGCCCAGCCATGTGACAAAGGCAATGATCTAGGAAGACCATTTTGAATAATAAACTCACCACAGCACATTGTGTCTGTTTAAGCAATTGAAAAAAAATGGAATAGTCTCCTTGTGTTGATACATCTCTCACTTTACTGGGTCCATGAACTTGCTGAACCTTTTTCACACTATTGTCAGGCTTAAATAAGATAAGTGATGTGAAAGTGCTGTGAGAACAACCAGATCTATGCTTTGAACCCATAGGCTGAATTTAGAAAACCGAGAAAAGATAGGTCATGGTAAAGGATGCATAACTTGACACTTGTTTGGTCACTCATACCCTAAAGGGAGAAGGTCTGATAATTAGCTTGCCATTTTACATTTTTATTATGAATAACATGGTTGGTACATAATAAATGCTATTGAGCGAACAAATATATGTCAAGGATGTTGTTAGATGTTGTTAATTACGACTCATGTGACCCTGTGAACAACGTATCTGAACCTTGTCCTATTCTGTGACATCCTCATAATTTCTGATACACTTGAGCCCTTTGCTGCAGTCACTGTGTCAATCCAACTCGTTTAGGAAGGGAGGCAGAATGTAGGTTGTGATATTTTTGTCTTGTTTGTTGCAGATTTGATGCTGCCAGGACTAGTGGTGCCCCCTTCTGGTCTGCCTCAAGTAGAGAAAGGTGATCTCTGTGCCATTGCCTTGGTGGGGAACAGGTACTGTGTCAGATAGCTGGGGGGGACAAGGGGGACCAGAACTTAGGTAAAGGGAGGTGGCACCTTACAAAGAATATTGATGAGGTATTAAAAGAAAAAAGATGTTCTTTCATGTGGAAGAAGCAGGGAGTGGGCTATTGGGGGGATAGCAGTGAACTTGTAGGGTTCTCACACATCAGAAAGGAGTATATTTGCTGTTCCTACTGCTTCTTTATTGTCTTAACATTTTATTTTTAAATAATTCTGTACTTTCAGAAGAGTTACAAAGATAGTACTGAGTTCCCATACACTTTTTCACTACTTGCTTTGTATGACAATGTATACATAACCATGATCTAGTTATAGAAACTAAGAAAAGAACATAATATATTACTGTTAACTGCAGATGTTATTTCTGTTTTTTTCCCCAGTATTTCTACTACAAGTAGCCCTCAACTTCTGGCAAGGTTCTATTCTGACAACTCTGTTGTGAGTTGATTTGGACATAAACCAAATACCTCACTCTCTCTGTTAAGTTTTATTATCTTTGTCTTTGGGTATTGGAAACATTATGTAAGTTTCCAGATATGTTTTAGTATATACATATTCTTCATTTATTTACTATCTCAGTTGCTGACTTTTCATATTTCTGGAAATGACAAAACATGCAGTATTTAACTATTTTGTGCACTTATGCGGAAAATTTGGAATACCAAGGTGCAATGCTAGAGTAACACTGGTTGTGATATTGAAGGCTTTGTGGATCGTTAAAAACAAATAGTCCTAAATGCAGTTTGTGATAATTCAAATACGTCATGCCAGAGAGACTCTTTCTAATGGTCTTTTTCTGTTCAAGGATTTGATATAGGACACTACATTAGTTGCCATACCACTTTACTTACTTTCTTCTCAGTCTTTGCTTGTCATGAATGTGACATATTTCTTCCGCCATCATTCTTTAATTATTATAATGGTTTATTGAGGTATAATTCATATACCTTAATTCAAAGTGGCTTTCGTATATTCAATATAGTTGCTTAACCATCACCACTATGCTGATATTTTAAAAAATATTAGGATGTAATCATATAAACAATGCTGGAAAACCAGAAGTCTCCTCACCCTACTAACATGTAAAAATGTCCTTGCTGAGGTTTTTATCACACACATACATGTGCACATAAAAATGTATGATTTAGGGTATATGTGTTTAAAAAGAAACAAACAATTATAATGTGTGTGTGTGTGTGTGTGTGTGTGTGTGTGTGTATTTACCACTTGATATAGTGTGGACATTTCCATGCCAGAACAGATATCTGCCAAAACTTTTACCTGCTGTGTGGTCAATGGATGAGATCCTCTCCGGTAGGCGCTGAGGATGCCACCAGTTTATTATCTCTACTGCAAATAGTATCTTTTTATCTTCTTTCTTTTTTTTTTTTTAATTTGTTGTGTACGGCCTAATTGGATTAGACTGGCACAGGAGGAGATTGCCCTTCCTTCTCCAGCAGAGCACCTGGTGGATTTGAACCGCGCACCTTCAGGATTGCAGCGCAGTTTCTTGCTATTAGGCCACCAGAGCTCCCCTGCAAACAGTATCTTCTTTATGCTTCTAGAGATATACCATGTGCCAGGATTTTCTAGATACTAAAAAGCAGAACTGGTAGGTTGGAGATTATGCCTGTTTTCTGTTGCCTCACCAAAAAAAAAAGATCATATACTTTTTACTCCCACATACAAGGCAACTGGAACCTGTTTTGACACCCTCATCAGTACTGGATAGGAGGGCTCATTTTCATGTGTATATCTGAATGAGAGATAAATACTATCTCATTGCTGATTTAAAAGGAAAGAAAAAAGTGATTAAAGACATAGGATGGACAATGTTTAAAGATCTTACTGTTTAAAAAAAAAAAGATCTTACTTTTGCCACTCAGTATTAGCCTCCTGTTTTCTTTATGTTTTGTGTGTACCGTCAAATCATATCTAACTGGTACAGGAGGAGATTGTCCCTCCTTGTCCAGCAGAGCATCTGGTGGATTCGAACTGCTCACCTCTGGTAGCCTGTTTTCTTGAGTATTTTGGAAGCAAACACACTGCAACGTTTCCTCTTTTTGTTTTTTACCATAGGACAGTTAAAAAGAATGGTGTATAGGGGTTTTTTACCCTCTAGCATTCTACCTAAGATAGGAGAAAACTAGATAAATAGATATTTGGCCTGCTAAGTTTGGCCTTTATAGTGTATATAGGGATGGAGCCCAGGAGTGATTTGCTGCAGGAGGTGAGGGTGCAAGAGGTTGTTAACAACAGAGGCCACATTCAGTATGCTACTGTGGTATTAAAGGTCTTGACCTATTGACTTCAGTGGGGATGGAAGAAAAAGACCTAAGAGTTGGAGTTGAAGTCAGATTGAAAGTTCCTGTGTTGAGATTGTTCTTAGGGCTTCTGGTGGAGCTTCCAGATTTAGCACAAGTCCTAAAGGTTGTATCTTGGGATCCTGCCCTTGAGTTCAGGCTACCTATGGGGTTTGTGTGTTTCTCTGTTGTTATTCAGCCTGTATCTATCCATACAGGTACTACATGATCAATATTTGAATAGTACTGGGCTACAGAGATTATTCACTTGAGCTTCGGAAGTTATTTTTGACATTGTGGGAACATGTAGTTCCTAGCTGAGGTTATGGATTGATCCCTGCTATAAAGAGCCAACTCAAATGGAACTTCTCTTGTGGGCTTTTCATTTATCTCTTTTCTTTTCCCTTATGGAATCCACTCTGTCAGCATGATTTCTAAAGAATAAATTATTTCCTTTCTGAACTTCCCTGTGGAGTGGCTCTGCCTTTAGTGCCTGGTGTCTGTTGCTGTTAGGTGTCATCATGCCAATTTTTGACACAACTCTGTGACTGAATAAAATTTCCCATAGAGTATTTGAGATTGTACTATTCATGGGAACAGATCACCAGGTCTTTTCCCGCACAAAAGAAAAGGTAACGGAGGTAATTTATGTTTTTAGAATTAAGAAAGGAGAACTTTAATTATCTTTCCAAATCCTGGCTGGGTGAATTCATAATTGGAATAAAACAAAGACAATGAGAACAGTGGCAAACCTATTACTTACATAGAAAGGTTATGTTTGGTTAAGGGATTTTTAAAAATAATTCTTGCATATAATCTGAAAAAAGTGGAGACTGGACTGAGTTTAGTTTTGTGAGACAAGTGGATACTTGAGATTTGTAGTTGTGAAGCTTTTGTACATACGTGGGGAGATGGTTTGAACCCTCGTCTCTGGCCTCCTTTTTCGCAGAGCCCCCGTTGCGATCGGAGTTGCTGTCATGTCCACTGCTGAGATGCTGACTGCAGGCCTGAAGGGCAGGGGCTTCTCTGTGCGACACACTTACCAGGACCACTTATGGTGGGTACACAGCATGTTTCTTTGACTTTTCCTAGTGCCTGGCTGTGTGAGAAAAGAGAGATCCAGGAGTAAGAGTGTTGACTAATTCCTTTACCAAATGTGGAGACAAGGGTGTTTTGGATTTTGAGAAGGTTTTGGTTTTATTTTTCCCCCCCAACTTGGTGAGGAAATTAGAACTTGGATTATTTTCTAGATGAATTGTAGAACCTTTAACTTGGAAGATGACTTCAAGAATTGTCTACTTTGCCCCTTGGGATGATCATATTCTTTGCTTTTATAGCTTCCATCGGTCCAGCCTCATCTACCCCCATTGTTTAAGGAGAGCACCTGAATTTTCATTTGTGAATCTGAATCAAAGGAGGGCCGTCATCAGACATTAGGGTGATAAACTGACTCCCTTCGTTATCCAGTGTTACCTCTTTGTGGAGATAACTTCTCATCACTCTCTCATTGTTAACAGTTGCTTTTTTAAAAAGCCCTATACCAGTTTATTTTCTGAGTACTTTCATTTTGTCAAAATAGTCAACAGCACTCTTCTTGAAAACAATCTATCTGGTCCTTTTTTTAAAATTATTAAATTTTATTAGTTTTAATGAACATTTACAGGGATTTTGGGTTTTCATTCCTTCATTGCTGCACCATTCTCTCTACCCTCCTCCCCAGTTTGTTCTTCTTCCCCCGCCATCCGAATGTCTGTTTTAATTGTCCAATTGCCACAGTGCTTGTCAAAGTCAGTTCTGATTAATCTTCTTTGTCAGTGTGTCCTTTGCCATTCCCTATCACTCCTCCCTGAGAGAGACTTCACCCTGATTCATAAGGAAAAGGGGATGGCGTATTCTCTTAGCTACTTCCTGCTGAAAAGGGACGCTGTGGGTTTCAGGGTGAAGATCTTCTCTCACTACTCTAAAGGGCCCCTTTGGCAGTAGGAAACACATAGACTATTATGGAGATTGATTTTGGAGTTTAGATACACTGTTATTAATTGTGCTTAGCCGTACATGTTCATATCCTTGAAGATGTATCGTGGGGGGTTGCAACCTAGAAGACACAAATGTAACTAACAAGTTATAAGTACATGAGTCAAAAATTATGGAAAAGTAAAAGAAAAGATTCTTTCATTGTTTTACAAACCCTCCCCCAGGTCCCCTCCACCATGGAGCCATTGCTCTAGACTCCTGTGATGACAGAAATACCTAGTCACATATCTCTTTTAAACAGTTTTCTCCCTCCTCTGTTTCAGTGCAGTATACATTATTGAACCCATCTTACTCAGTCTCTCCCCAACCCTGAGGTTAGTCCCATTCTACAACAGTGGCATCATGTAATATTTGTCCTTTTGTGACTGGGATATTTCACTCAGCATAATGTTCTCCAGAGTCAACCATTTTGAATAATATTGCATGAGTTCCTTGTTTTTCAATGCAGCATAGTATTCCATTGTGCAAATATACCACAGCTTCTCTAGCCATTCGTTTGTTGATGGGCTATCTGGTCCTTTTGCCGAGTGTTGCAGCTTGTTGGTATAGGCCCATTCTTATCTTTTTCTAGCCCTGTCTTGGATTTATTCACATAACAAATACTGATCAAGCCCTAGTTTCCTGGAAGTACAACCTCATTAGCGTGTGTACTAGCAGGTTTTGTTTGTTGTTTTTGTTGTTGTTGTTGTTGTGTACCATCGAGTTGGGACTGACCTATAGCTGACCCTCCCATGGGTTTTCAGAGGCAGTAATCACACAGGAGGAAATGCTCCGTCCTTCTCCCGCGGATTCAAACTGTTTGCCTTTGGGATTGCAGTGCAGCTTCTTGCCACTAGGCCGCCAGAGTATTAGAGGGGAGATACTGTTCTAACGGCTTGTTTTCTAACTAGCATTTCAGGTACAGCAATCAAGATCATGCTGGGTAAAGTTGTTTAGTCAGTTGTTACAGAGCACTACCCTTTTTAAAAAAATCTACTTTATTTAATTTTTAAATATTTAAGCTTACATACATTTACGTGACTTTGCTATTAATGGTACAAGCATACCTTGTTTTATTGGGCTTCAGCTTACTGAGTTTTGCAGATATCACATATTTTACAAATTGAAGATTTGTGGCAACAGTCATGAGCAGGTTTGTTTATGCCCTTTTCCCAAAAATATGTGCTCACTTGTGTTACATTTTAGTAATCCTCCCTAATTTTAGACTTTTTCCATAATGTTTTTGTATACTTAATAGACAACATGCTCATTGTCATCATACACATAGCCTCCGAGTAGGACAGAGTAGACCTGCCCCTTTGGGTGTCCAGGCTGTAAATCTTTACAGAAGCAGACGGCCTCATTTTTCTCCTGTGAAATGCCTGATGGGTTCACACTGCTCACCTTTTGATTGAACCAGTTGGCACCACCAGGTCTTCACTAGTAGACAACGGATGGTATTAGCAACCAGTTTTTATATGCTTTGAGAAACAAACAGGAAATCTGTATGTCTCATTTTATGGCAGCTTTTACTTTGTTGTGGTGGTCTGAAACCACGTCCACAATATCTTTGAGATATACCTGTCTGACATGCCTTCCTATAAACTCAGTTAAAACTTATTTTGATCTTCGTGAACCAGGCGGAGATAACAGCTTTTGCTTTGATCTCTGCATGCTCCGCTGTGTAGTATTACTGCTGCTGCTTTCTCCCCTCACCTCCAGTCTTCCTGAAGCATGGTGATATAAAACCAAAAACCATGACCGTTTCTTCAAGTTAGGTGAAATTTTCATTTAACAAAGCAGCAGCTGATTTTGTAGTTCTTGAACAGTTCAGCTGTTTGTATTTTGTTACCTACTGTGTCAGAGCTATTGTACTTTGGGTCGCTACTCAGTGGCACATAACAACACAATAACTCTGTCTTCAGTTAGTAATTCACCAGACTGGTATTGTAGATTACAGACCTATTTACTATCCTGATTTTGTTATTTCATTCAGAAGAGTTTTATTACTTTTTTACTCACATGAAGGAATATTTTGGTAGACTGCCTCTTTAATGCTTCATTTTTAAATCTTTATTTCAGGATAACCATCGTAGTGGTATTATTCCTTTAAAATGCTGAGGAGACAAGGTTTATGCTTCCCATTTCAGAGATGAGAAAGCAGAGGCGTGAACTTTTCTAGGCCCAGAGTTAGAAGTGGAGTTACTGGGGTTTTGAGAGGGTAGAATGGGGAGAATGTTTCTTGTGCTTACCTGCCTGTTGGAGAGCATTGTGGGTACTGCTTGATATTTCTGACATGAGATTTTTCCAGGAAATCTGGAGACAGGTCCCCTCCACCTTCTATTGCTCCACCTGCCCTGGATCCCCCAGATCTCAATGAAGAGAAGGTCTCGGTCCTGGCAGACCCGACCCTGCAGGAAGACATGAGGGGCCTGCAGCTGAAAGGAGAGGAGGAGGAGAATGGGGAGGATCCTCCGCCAAGTGGGGAGAAGTCCCTCTCAGAAGCCTCAGAACACAGCAGCGTCAAGGCCTTGAACCAAGACACTGCAGGCAACAAGATCCTTCAAGGTCTGGTTTTGGGAGCAGGAGTGTCCATTCCTCCTCCTCTCAGTCTTAAGAGACTGAGATGCTGTGCTGCTTTTGAGTGGAGCAGCACTGAAGCTCTGGGAATGGAGGGAAAAGTCCTCAGTTTGGATGAATGTAGTCCAGCAGCCCTTTGACCTCTTGACTGGGAGTCTTCCATACGTCATGTCTCCCTGGGTGCCTACCTGCCCTTGCCAGTGGGATTTTTCTAGTCCCCTCAGATTACCTCTGGCTCTGTTTTCTGTGTATAAACTCTTCTAGTTGATGGGACTTGGCCCCTTCTCTGGGATCAGCCCTCCTTAAAGACAGTACTTAAGAGTTTGGGAGCTTTGATGCCTGAAAATAGGTTCCTTTTGGAGTCAGGGAGATGAGAAAGAGGTAGAACTGTTCTGTAGGGTGTCAGACATTCTGCTTCCCTCAGGAAGGATGTGAGTCCTATCTTGTTTTTACAGGGCAAATGGATGAACTCTTACAACGATGCTTCCTACATGCTTTGAAAAGCCAAGTCAAAAAGGCTGACCTCCCTTTGCTCACCAGCACCTTGCTTGGCAGCCACATGTTCTCCTGCTGGTAAGGAAGGGACTGAAGGGGGTAGAAGCCAAGAACTGGGTTTCACTCCTGTTCCTGGACAGGAGCACAGGACAGGGCTGATAGAGGAGTGACTGGGGCACATGCTGTGTGCCTGACTAGGGCGGTCGTCATTGAAAAGAGTAGAGGAGATGGTCTGGTAAATAGATTAGGTTCTGGATTTTAACAACTTAAATCCCAGCCAGTGAGAGGATATTGAGGAAATGGAAGGTTGAAATTCCCAGACAGCCTTGTTTCTCTGAACACTGGAATCCCTCTCTCGGATCAGGCAGCATGTCCTTACAGGAATGTCCCAGGGGCAGCCTCAGTTTTTGGGTTTTTTTTACAGACTTCTAGAACGTACATAATTAACATGCCTTTTCCTTCAATTTCTCTTGAAAAGTAGATTAGTCAGATTAGTTTGTATCAGTAAGATACACCCCAGTTCCAAGTGCAAGCCACCAGGGAAGCAGTGGTGTTCATGGATGGAACTTGAACTTTAAAGACAGGCCCTTCTGGGCTCAAGTGCTTGAACTGGTCAGCAGACTTCTCTCAAGCTTAATTTATAATACCCACAGGTTGATTGAAAGGTTAAATAGTCTGACAGAGTGTAAGCACTAAATAAATACTATTTTAACAGCAAATTTGCATACTGATTTTCCCCCCTGAGATCAAATATCTTTCTTTTTGAGAGTCTTGCTCTGTGTTTTTGAAGTAGCTATAATGCAACCCACTGTTTACTTGTGAGCTTCCTTCAGACAGATATCCTGCACATATGTGGGATCTGGAGTGTGTAGTGGCTAACATGATGATCCGTCCTAATCTTGCTGGGTTATAAACAACTGGTAAAAGAAAGGCAAAGAGTATTCTTTAGGATAGAGGTTCTTGACCTAGGGTAGGTTCTAGAAGGTCATAATTTGTATGAAAATAGAGATTCTGGGGAGAGTGAAAGATTAAAACTTGCTTTAAGTGCCTCTCTCCAAAAAACTAATTTAAGCAGGGCAGGACTCAGCAAACTATATTTCTGTAAAAGCCCAGATAGTTAATACTTTTTAAAAAAAATTAAATGTTATGAAGGATTGTATGCTATGCAAGTATGGACTTTAAATAAGAATATTGATAAGCTCTGGCTTAAGAAGTGGTTAATTCTGACA